TGCAGGAGGCAGCCAATCAATGATTCTCTCTCATCATTGATGTTTCTCTCTCTCTCTCCCTCTCCCTTCCTCTCTGAAATCAATAAAAATATATATTTTTAAAAAGAAACAGAAATGTAGAGTTCAACAAATGATCACAAACTGAATACCCAGGTAATCACTACCTAAGTGAAAAAATAGGCTGTTATTATTTCCAGAAGTCTCCTTCCAGAGCACTTTCAATCACCACTACCTTCTCCCCCTGTCAGAGACAATGTGGCTTCAGAGTTGCAATATCATACAACTCTGTCTGTTCTTCAATTGTATGTAAAGTAGGTATCATGTTTATTTTGTATCTAGTTTTGTTTACTGACATTAGGTTTGTGAGATTCATCCATTGTGTTTGTAAAGCTCTAGTTCTCCTGATTTTATATTCAACTAGTAGCCCTGTGCATGATTCTATGCACCAGTAGCTTGCTGCCGCCCTCCTGTAGCTCTCTGCCTGCTTCCCTGCCCTCCTGCAGCTCCCTCCGTTGCCTCCCCCCCTCATAGCTTGCTGTCCTGCCCCCCTCCTGCAGCTCTCCACCACCATTTGTAGCTTGCTGCCCCACCCTCCTGATGATCTGTGATCTGGTCATTATGCGGTCAGTCATTACAGTTCACGATGTAATGACCATTTGCATATTACATCTTTATTATATAGGATTGTGTTACCAGAAAACTATCAAATTGTTGTTGTTGGTCAAGTTTTGAAATATTATTAAAATTCTCATTCTTATACACATGTAAAGAACTGGATAAATTAGTCATCTGGTATGTTTAAGCTCCAACATAAATTGGCTATTCCAAGAGCAGCTCTGAGCTGGGGAAATATCTCCTAGTTGAAGCCACATGTGAAATTATATACAGGTATTCTTGATGTGCCCTTAAAACCTTTCTGATATCCTTCTTGGGAAAGAAACATTGTATAATTTAAGTATTAATAATGGTATTTTATTCTTTCACATAGGGAGTTTTGTTAGTTTATATTATAAGAGAATTAGCTATTAAATTAGTTGATCAGATATAGAAAATTACTCCTATATTTAATGTGAGATTTTGTCATATGTCATTTATATGCCAAAAAGTTCATACATATGCTAAAGAGAATAATTTTTCTATTTATATTAATAGTGTTATTATTTTGATTAATTGTTACATGCTCTGAGATGTAGTATTTATCTCAATACAGAGCACAATGTAAAGTTGGGGAAACTGTAAGTAATTATACTTATTATTGTTACAATTTAAATGGTGACCAAGTTTGTGAAGTTGAATTATGGAGAGTAAATTCCTTGAGCTTAATGTTTTCCTACTGCTTACTGACTAGACTTTTGACTAGCACTGAGAGTTGAACACTGTAACCATGGAAACAAGCACTTAACCTTATCAAATGGAAATATGTTTAATTTTTCTATTTTTCATAAATATCTTTGTAGTTCAAGATAATGATTAAGAAATCAAGGCTAGGCACTTCCTGACATCAATGAATAGATGACTTAAAGGCCTTTAGCAAATATTTTAAGGTAGACATTAATGCCAGAAATGTGCTCCAAACCCACAGGTCATGGTTCTTAAATATTTGGTAGTTGATAGTTATTGCTAATTCTACACATATGCTATGCATAAAAATATTCCACATGAGTTGAAAGGTATTAAGTCTGAAATTAAAGTTAATGTATATTGTGTCATATACATTCATCAGAAAAGCATAGAGGGGCTAAAGTTGTTTTATATAGAATTTATCATCAACCAAGATGAAAAATAGAATGCATTAGCTATAAAACAAAACTATGTTTTATCTTCTACTAGAGGCCCAATGCACAAAATTTGTGCAAGGGGCTTGGCCCTCGCAGCCCCGGCTACCTCATGGTCCCATGGCCCCACACACTGGTCATTCCAGAATTTCATCCGGAAGGTTGTTCTGGAAGGTCGTCCAACATCCGGTCTAATTCGCATATTAGCTCTTTATTAAACAGGATTTAGGTGAACACATATTATACATGCATATATTCATTGGTTAATTATTAAAAACTAGAGGCCCGGTGCACAAAAATTTGTGCACTCAGGGGGAAGGTGGGGTTCCCTCAGCCCAGCCTGTGCCCTCTCGCAGTCTGGGACCCCTCGGGAGATAATGCCCTGCTGGCTTAGGCTTGCTCCCGGGTGGGAGAGGGCAGGCCCAATCCCTAGGTGCAGCCCCTGGTCGGGCTCAGAGCAGGGCTGATTGGGCAGTTGGGGCACCGCCCCCTGTCATGCACAGAGCAGAGCTATCGAGAGGTTGTGATGCCACCCTCAGTCATGCTCAGGGTAGAGTCGATGGGGGGTTGGGGCACCGTTCCCTGTCACACTCAAGGCAGGGTTGATGGGGAGGTTGTGGCACCACTCCCTGTCACGCACAGAGCAGGGCCCATCAGGGGAGTTGGGGTTCTGTACCCTGTCACCCACAGAGCAGGGCCGATCAGGGGGTTGGGGCGCCGTCACTCTCACACTCAGGTCAGGGCCGATGGGGAGGTTATGGCTCTACCCGGTCACACACAGAGCAGGGCCTGTGGGGGGGAGCGGTGTTGGGGTGCCGCACCCTGTCACACTCAGAGCCGCAGGGCAATCAGGGGGTTGGGGAGCTCCCCCTGATAAGGCACAGAGCAGGGCTGATCAGGGGGTTGGGGCGCCTTCCCCTGTCACGAACAGAGCAGGGTGGATAGGGACGTTGTGGCCCTGCCCCCTGTCACACACAGAGCCGCAGGGCGATCAGGGGGTTTGGGCGCTGCCCCCTGTCACGCTGATCCCTGTGCCGGGAGGCCTCACAGCTCTGCTGATCCCGGTGCTGGGAGGCATATTACCCTTTTACTATATAGGGTAGAGGCCTGGTGCACGGGTGGGTGCCAGCTGGTTTGCCCTGAAGGGTGTCCTGGATCAGGGTGGGGGTCCCCACTGAGGTGCCTGGCCAGCCTGGGTGAGGGGATGATGGCTGTTTGTAGCTGGTCACACATCCTTCAGGGTGGGGGTCCCCACTGGGGTGCCTGGCCAGTCTGGGTGAGGGGTTGAGAGTTGTTTTCAGGCTGGGGGTGACTGAAGCTCCCAACCACTCCTTTTTATCCTTTTTTTTTTTTTTTATTCTGGGCCAGCTTTAGCTTTAAGGCTTGGCTCCAGCTCTTAGGCCTCTGCTGCTGAAAGTAGGTTTCTGGCCTTTGCTTACAATGTTGTGATTCTTCTGGCTGAAGCCCGGGACTAAAGCAGGTTTCTGGGGTTTTGTTTAGCTTCTATATTTGTTACATAGTTGCTTAGAGTTGCAGCTCAGAGGCCTGCAGCGGCAGGCAGGGAACGTTGGAGTCCTCCGTCACTGAAGCAAGCAAGCCTCATGTTAGTTTCAAGCTGCCAGGTTGCCGGCCGCCATCTTGGCTGGCAGTTAATTTGCATATTGCCCTGATTAGCCAATGGGAAGGGTAGCGGTCGTACGCCAATTACCATGTTTCTCTTTTATTAGATAGGATAGCTTTTCATATTGACATTGCTGACATTGTTACCAACAGAAATGTGTAGTATAATAGTTTAATAACATCACCAATTTTCTTGAATTATTTTTATGAATAATTTTCCAGAAATTGTTTTAAAATTTTATTTAGCTTAAAGTGAAGTACATTTAGATATTGTATCTCATGTACTGGAAAATTTTATATTATCTCTTTCAGCACACATATTACTAGCTGAATAACTTTACCTCAACTTTGTATTGTATAACTTCACTAACATTTTTTTTTTTATTGTGAGAGTAACATGAAATAAATTATAACTTCTAAAAACAATATCCATCACATGTTAAGGTAACTGAAATTTTCATTACTGATACTAAAACTCAATAAAGGCTAGATGATCATTTTATAGGCATTATCACATTTATTCTTTAAAAATAACCTTTTAATGTTATGCTTTTATTCTATTGATTTTAATGAAAATGTAATGTCCAGACTATGGGGAATATTTTCAAATCCATATGGTCAGCAAATGTAGAATTGACACTCACAACTCTCAGTGTAACTCCATATACTTATTATTCATCCTTTCTGGTGCCATTTTAAATCATAGATTAATTGAAAAATATTTAATTTTTGTATTAAGGATTTCTTTGCTAGAGAAAATGGGTAATCTCATGGCTAAAGAACTTTTAATTGGAACTCATTTCAAGAACCCTAACGCATAATTTGTAAATATTTCTGTTTGGGATTTAGTTGGGGGTAGGGGTGAGCTGGAACCCTTGAAAAGGGATGCATGACCTCAGCCCAGAATAAAGTCTACCAAAACATCAACAAAAGAAAAGACAACAGAAAGCAACTATTGGAATCTCTTTGGATATTTTTTATAAGAGCTAACGTTACAGTCAATACTCTGCTTGATAAATATATTTTGTGTAAAGGAAGCTATAATGCCAAAGATAAGATTACAAATAAGATAACCAGCAAAGAGGAACATATTCTACTCTCTCAAAATACACTAGGAACATATTTCAGAATCAGCATCTTAGAAATAGATTTCTTCTTGATGATTTGTGTATCTTGAAAATAAATTAGAAAGATACATGTTTTCTATTACAGTTCTTCAAACTACCAATCTTAGCTTCATAAGAAACCCTAAAAGTCTGAAACTATTTGTCAAGTGGTAATACACTGAGTACTTATTATGTTTTCGTGGCAGTGTATTGAAATATTTGTAATTTTCATGTTTTATAGTTCCCTGGAATCATTAGCACACTTTCATTTTAGAGGCTGTGCTAAATTCAGCACTAGAGTCAATAGTTTGAGGAAATGAAAGTGAGGGGTGAGATTCATTTTAATAGTTGAGAAACTTGACTGGGAAAATGATCTGTCAGTATTTTTCTGGAACACAACACTCTATGTAATTAGATTGGTGGACTGAAGGGAGATAGAAAGGACAAGATTAGAGATGTTCTTTGGGGAATAATTAACCTCGAGAATGCAGTTAAAACTGTGTGAGCATAAAAACTTGCATAGTCAAATCTCGAGGGAAAAGAAGAAAGACTATAAAAGGATTAAGATCAATGGAAAAGGGCATCTTAACAGAAGTAGAAGGCAAAAGGTAAGCTTTGGAACTAACAGAATTTTATTTTACTAGAATGGAACCATTAAACAATATTTTTGTTGTTGTTAAATTAGGTGTGTTTATAATACATTAATATCTCTTGTACTTTAATTCACTTTGTAAAAAAAATATACTATTTTGTTCATGCCCTCTATTAAATTATGAAACCCTTGAATAGGAAACTGCAACCTTCAGTTATGCCATGAATATAACATTATTTAATACAAAAGATTGAGCAAGAAAATCTGAGGCATTTTTAAACAGATATCATCATAGGTCTATCAACAAAAGAAATATCTCAAACCAGAGGAAGCCTTAATACTAATTTATTTGAGCCAAAATTTTAAGGACATGCCCAGAAATAAGATCTCAGTGGAGAAAGGCAGTTTTGCAGTTCATTTTGCACATTTTGAATCAATAGAGAAAAGGTAAGGATGGTTACTTTCGATGGTAGATTAAGGAGCCAGGAGAAAGCAAAGCAGGTAAATCTCTAAGATGCATTGAAAAGGAAAATGGAGAGATGTATACTTCTTCCACATTGGTGAGCACAACATAGTTAACATTTATCAATTACAGATAACAGATAGAATGTGGCCAACAAGATAACAACACAAAGTTTCTGTCATCCTGTTATATTGCCAGTGGTCTGTTTTCAAAGAGTCTGGAAGATAAAACAGTTGTGACATTTAAAAGGGATGCTTTCTAAGATGCACAAGAATAATATACAGGGCTCATTTAAGGTGCAGATTAACCTTTTACTAAGGAAGCCATAGGCCTGGTATATGACTACCCACCATGCCCATGCCCAGTTAGGAGTTAATGTTCAGACCATCCTGTGTGGTTACTTTCGGTCACTAGGCTTGTCAGGTCTGTGTAGCTCCCTGTTCGTTCATGGATCACAAAGAACTTTATTTTTTGATGTGTAGTTTGCCATATTCAGGACCAAAATTTACTCTTTGCCTACCATCAAATAGGTCACTTACCAAATGTCCATTACAGATCTTGTAAGAAAATACAAGCTTATGCTAGGAGTCCAGGGGCATTTAAGTATCTATACTAATAAAAGGGTAATATGCTAATTAGACAGGGAGACCTTCCGACAAAGCCATGGCAGTGGGGACGAGGCAGAGGTGGTTAGGGGCAATCAGGCCAGGAGGGGAGGGAAGTTGGAGGTGATCAGGCCAGTGCGGGGGGGGGGGGGGGGGGGGATTGAGAGTGAACAGGCCAGAATGAGGGGCAATTAGGAGTGAGCTGGCTGGCACGGGGGCAGTTGGGGGCAATCAGGTTGGCGGGGGGGGGGCAGTTGGGGGAGAGAAGGCTGGCGGGGGGGCAGTTAGGGCAATCTGGCAGGTGAGCGGTTAGAAGCCAGCAGTCCCAGATTGTGGGACCTGTGGGATCGGGCATAAACCAGCAGTCGGACATCCCCCAAGGGGTCCCAGATTGGAGTGGGTGGAGGCCAGGCTGAGGGAAACCCCCCCATGCATGAATTTCGTGCACCGGGCCACCAGTCCTATATAATAAAAGGCTAATATGCAAATTGTCCCCTCGACCAGGAGTTCAACGGGGAGTTCCACCAGGGGGCAGGGCCAGCTGATTAACCACCCACAGCCCCTCCCCCCAGCCAGCCCCACCCCCGATCAGCCCCGATCTGGGCGGGGGGGGATGGGCTGGTCAGCCGCCACTTGTGCACGAATTCAGGCACTGGGCCTCTAGTAACCATATTAATCAACAGAATACAACTGAGAATCCAAAAAACAAACTCATGTATCTCTTGCCAACTGATTTTTTGACAAGGATACCAAAACCAGAACATGGGTAAAGAACAATGTTATTAACAAATGAAGCTAAGACAACTGAATTTCCACATGGACAATGATAAAATTGGACCCTTTCCTCTTACCATATGAAAAACTTACATATAATGGGCCAAAGACCTAACTTTCAGAGGAAAACAAGGGAGTTAACTTTCATGACCTAGGGTTTAGCAATAGATTCTTAAATATGACACCAAAAGCATGAGCAACAAAATGAACAATACATACATTGAATTTTATCAAAATTAAAATAATTGTTTCAAAGCACACCACCAAGAAAGTGAAAAGATCCATAAAGTGGGAAAACATTTTCAAATTAATAGTTAATAAGGGACTAGTACCTAGAATATATGAAGAACAGCTCCAACTCAATAATAAAAAGACAAAGAAAAAACATTTCTTCAAAGAAGATTTACAAATTCCCAATGAATACATGCAAAGATACTCAGCATCATTAGACATGATGGGAATGCAAATCAAAACCACAGTGGAATACCTCTTTATATACACTAGAATTATTGTAATAAAAAAGTTTGATAATAACAGATGTTGGCAAGGATGTGGAGAAATCAGAACCTTTATACACTGCTAGAGTAAATGTAAAATGATGCAGCCACTATGGAAAACAGCCTGGAAGTTCCTTAACTAGTTTAACATAAAGTTCACATATGACATAGCAATGCCACTGTTAGGCAAATACCCAAGAAATGAAAGTATATATCCACATGACTGTTTATAGCAGCATGATTCATAATAGACAAAAGGTTGAAATAACCCAAATGTCTATCAATTCATGAATGGATAAACAAATGTGGTATCCATACACTGCAATATGATTTAGTCATAAAAAAGAAATGGGAATGAAGTAATGATGCATGCTACAACATAAATGGACCTTGAAAACATTAACTAAGTGGAAGAAGATTGTTACTCCCAAATCACATATTATATGCTTCCATTTATATGAAACCTCTCTAAGGGACAGATCTATGGAGACAAGAAATAGTTGGGTGTTGTTTAGGGCTGGGGAATAATGGCTAAAAGTGATAGTAAAAGGCATGGATTTCTTTGTGAGGTGCTGAAAATGTTCTAAAGTTGACTGTGGTGATGGTTGCACGTACTTGTGACTATATTAAAAACTGAACTGTACACTTTAGATGAATTATGTGCTTTATGAATTATGTCAGTAAAGCTGTTATTAAAAAATAGACATTGACCTGAGAAGATATTGTAATATGGTGGGAAAACAACTTTTTTTTTTTTATCTTTTCTCTATGTTTTCCTTATTTCACCCTCCATGCCCTTCTTGAATCCAGATATAGTACAAATATTTTATTAGTATTTGCAAGATATGTGCCCAGAATGAAATCTTCAATAGATATCATGAATCCCTTACAACCTTGTGAGTTTTTTCTCTTTCCACTGGAGAAAGAATCCCATAAACGAGGCCAAGCATTTTCTTTCTCTTCTTTAGAAATTAATGTCAGAGGTTATGTACATTGTAAAGAAACCTTCAGATTTCGGACATGTTTCTTTATTTCATAATATTCAGTGATACTCAGCAGAATAATGGAGTTTAGGAACTTGGAGTCTTCTATCCTACCTCTCTTCTGACCCAGACCATTGAAAAAATAGCTTCTGAGAGTCCCAGGAGGACCTGGACTCCAGAAGCAGTGTAAATCCCTGCCAAATCCAACATTGTTTAGTGGGGCACGGCCCCCACACCTTTTTCTGACATTCTATATAGACTCATGATTTTACTGCACATCGAAATTCAAAAATGTTGCCAAAGAGAATGGGGGATTTTCAAACTAGTGACTCAAGCTGAAAGACAAACATGTGTAATGTTTGTACCCTGTGTTAACTCAAGACACCTCATCTCATGTATGTCCCAGGGAGAAGGGATCTAGTTGTTTTTGTTAGTGTGAATGATATTTTGCACACTGTAGCCAAGTCTGAAAGGCAGGGTGCTAAATGCAGTGACTGAAGCCTTGAAAGAACACAGTATGTTGAACCCCTTAATAGGAAGGCTGAAAACATACATGATGTGTACCCTAGATTACACACAACAGGATGGTCATTTCAGAGGAGCTGTTTTTCATTTTCCTTTAAAACTCTAAAATAAAGCATGCACAAGTCAGGCTTCCAGGAGCATGTTTATTTTTCCAAGGAGACAATTTATCACATTGTTTTGGTATGTGGTTTATTCTAAAATTATTTGCTAAAGATATGTTGCCATTCTATGTTATATTTTGTGGTGGTAGTATAGAGTCAGAATATTTATAGATATGTAATATGAAGTATTCTAGATTTATAATAAAAGGTCCTTTTCTATACTATGCATATCATTGGCTTTATTATTTTTGTCTTCTATCAGATCAATGTGTTCTCTTTTAACTGGAATATACTTTGAATAATGAGGGCCCTAAGGAAAGGTATGACATTACATAATTGTAATGTGTGGAAAGCTAGGTCCTAAATACCACAAGCCAATAAAAAGAATAGATTTCATCTCCTTTCAATATTGAAAATTAGTTTTCTGTTTAAATCTTTTCCTGACAGATAGTAATCGAACAAAGAGTGGCAAAAAAACTGAAGACATTATTTATCTAAAATAGAGAAAGAAGAGGGAAATTCCCTAAGTGGAAATATTTATATTTTAAAAATCAGAATAACATTTTTATAGGTGTTACATTATTCTTATTATGAAGTTAGAATTTCATACTAAGGCATTTGAATTTTATGCTACTTTATGTTTTCCATTAACATTTATTTCTTTCTCATTGATGTTTTTTTTTAAAACGTGGTATGCTTGGAACCTACACAATTCGAACTAAGTTATTTCTCCTAGAAATATTCTAACGCATATGTGACAACCCCTTCCAAAAAAAAAAAAAAAAAAGACACATGTGACACCTACATTTTAAAAACAAAAAAAGGATTTAGACTTAACAGAATCCTGGGAACAGAATTCTGACAACTGTAGTATTTGATTGTGTCTTTAATATTTAGGAATAAAGTTGATAAAAATAGAGCATGGTCACCTTTGCCTATGTCAATAGAAGTGTGAGACATATAAGATGAGTAATCAGATACTGGAGGATCTTGAACATTATGCTAAGCATTTGCTGATATGATCCATAGTTATTAGGGAACTAGGGATGCCTTGAGGAAGGGAATTGCAATATTAAGTGAGAATAACAATACTTTTCTGATCTTAAAATATTCAATATACTACAAATAGTAAATTAGTTAATATTTTAAACAAAATAAATGTAAATATTCTTGTCATTTTACCTAAAGATGCTATTTGTCAAATGGTCCCTTCATTACATTGTTAATTAGTTAACAATGAATCAATTCAGTTAAAGCAATGTGTAAAAAGAATGAACAAATCATGATCTAAACAGAGAGGAGGTTGTGCAGTCAGTGCACAGAGAGATTTATACAGTAAGCAAGTGCATTTAATTTATTTTTATCAGGCATTCATTATTTTAGTGTTTGAGTTATTTCAAAATATTTCAATATAAATCTCAAAGAAATGTTACTCCAAATAAAATTACAGATTACTAACACCAAAAAAATCTCACCTCTTTCTTATGAATTAGCTTCAGTTAATGTCTTTTGACATTTTTCTTCAAGATAATTAATTTTATTTGCTTTTGTTTTTATCTTGTTGTGATGGGTTTTTAATCTAACAATAGAATATGTAGATAATTCACTTGACAAGGTTTTAGCAACATTTATATTTGATGAGCCTTAGTCAGAGGAATATGAAAACAATACTTGTCTAAATTCAACCAGTTATAAACATTAGAATCCAAAATTAGATATTTGTGACAACTTAATTTTTCTGTAGACTCCTACTCATGTTTATGTTCCTATAGTGGCTAACACACAGAGCTATTCATCTGGTAGGTTCTCAGTAAATGTTATAGGATGTAATGAAAATTTGCAGCAAACTAGAAGAAATGTTAAAGGACTGATTAACACAATGTACAACAATAGAGATCTAAAAAAGTCTATATAGCTTAAGTGTGATTTTACAAAAGTCATCACTTAAAAGAGTAGGGAGAAGGATTAAAAATCCTTAGTATAGGTTCTGAGGATGTGTGACTAGAAAATACTGCTACTTTCAAACTTTTTAAAATGTCCAAACATCTGTTGGGTGATATATATATTTCCCACGTTCAAAGGCTGTTAAATTGCATTGTTTACCCATATCTTCAGAATAAAATCACTTCTGTCGTGGTAAACAACCTGCTTACCTATTTATAATGGTCTGGCCCTCTAGCAACTTCAGTGCAAAATTATAGCTAATTTGCCTACAAACGTCAGGTGGTCATAATAATCTGGCCACTCAGTGTATATTTATGGTTTATTGAAAAAATGCAAAAGTCACATGGGGCACAAGTTAATGACCCAAAGAAAAGAAAGTATTGTAACTACGGAATATGAAACAACATAGATGAATCTCAAAAGTATCATGTTAAATACAAAGAGCCAAATATGAAAAATATTAAAACGATATCGTTCCATTTCTATAACATTCTGGCTAAAGCAAATCTGTAAGGCAGAAATCAATGAGTGGTTGCCAGAAACCAAGAATGTTGGAAGAGGACTGACTAAAGAAATAGGAGGAAACTTCTCATGGTGATGAAAATACTTGATATCTTTATTTTGGTGATTGTTATCAGACCTTCACATCTGTCAAAATACACAAAAATGCATTACTAAAAACGGTTAAATTTATTCTATTTAAATTATAACTCAATGGACAATCTTAAGGAGGATAAAAAGCCTGAAGAACACCAGAAAGATGAAGAACGTGGAGAAAAATTACCCTGGTACATTGGCAAGCATGCCTTGGACCTGGGAGAACAATGGCCCACCCACCCACATGACAGGAAACCTTCCAAGAGAGGTCACCCCCATGCAGGGTATCAGAGGCAGTCACGGCATTCATTAAGGACAACTTAGGCCTTCTTCCCTCTAGTCCTCAAGAAGTCTATAATTTCTGTCAAAAGACACAGAATTTCTTATCTTGATAGGAACTATAATTACAACTTATTTATTCCACAAATAGTGAGCACTAAGAAGTGTCAGCCTGTGTTTTGTGCACTGGCATTCCACTGGTAAACAACAAAAGAAAGGCCATTATTCTCAAGGAGCGTAGATGCTGGTCTGGCTATGCTTATGGAAGTGGTGCCAGATAGTGAACTGAACAAGTATATCAATGTAATAGAATGGATATTTTCAAGTTTAAGTCGACCCTCTGGCTATTTGTTTCTACTGTCCAACCTATTTATTTTTTTAAACATATATTTTATTGATTTTTTTACAGAGAGGAAGGGAGAGGGATAGAGAGTTAGAAACATCGATGAGAGAGAAACATCGATCACCAGCCTCCTGCGCACCTCCTACTGGGGATGTGCCTGCAACCGAGGTACATGCCCTTGACCAGAATCGAAACTGGGACCTTTCAGTCCGACACTCTATCCACTGAGCCAAACTGGTTAGGGCTATTCATTTTTTTATTCCCTCCTTTGTGACCTTTTTTTTTATATATATAAACTATCAAATTATTTTCAGTATTGGATCCTAAATCATTGTAGTGAAACTGTGGAGTACTGCCAAGATCACCTTTGTGTCAAGGTATTCATTTCTTCATCTATCAAAACTCTATGAAAGGCTCACACTTGAGTCATTCATCAGGACTTGCCCTCAGCCCGAAGAAGCTGCTTTGCCCAGGTGTCCGCCTTCATCCAGGGGTAGCCAACAGCTAATGACTAGTTGATAGAGAGGGAGAAAGTTTTGTCTTCCCCTGCTTCTTTCAATTTTCTGAGGCACTTTGGTAGTGATGGTAAAGAGGGCTGCTCCTTAGTTCCTGCACCTATGTATCCTAAGGATTGGTATTACTGTAGCATATTAAGTTTTCCCTTCAATGAGCAATGATTTATGCAGTAGTGGTACTATTTTAGAGGTATTTGAGATACACTTTTAACTTATTAATGTCTAATATTAAAACTTAAATCACTTTAACTTTATTTACTCTGCTCTCTTTTTGGATTATTTTGACATTTTAAATGTATTTTAAACCACTTAGGATATTATTAATTTTGTTTTATATTAATATTAATTTAGGTTTATTACATTTGCTCTTTTCAATTATATCTCTTGTACATATCAATGCTTTCATCTATTACCATTTCCATTTTGCCTGAAGAAAATCCTTTTATACTTGCTTTAGCATGTGTATGCTGTTAATATCTTTTCTCAATTGAAATGTATTTATTTCAACAGATTTTTGAAGGGTATTTTCACTGGTTATACATTTCCAGATTGATAGTTATTTTATTTCAACTCTTTGAAGATGTAGTTCCATTTTATGTTAGATGGTACTTATTTATTTTCTTAATTTTTCTTTAGATAAACATCATTCCAAAATCTTTGGTTGATATATTGTTTTGAGTATAGAGACTTATACTTTTGGTCTTTTTTGTCTATTTTATTCGTTGAAATATGGTCTCTGCAGAGTATATTAGGGCTATATTTGAAAAACAACTGTTATTTTTTTTTAATTGCTGTGTTGCTTTCCTTACAATTTTTAAAATGTTTACCTAATGTACTTTTTTTCCTGCTTGTAATTTTTGTTAAAATGTTGAATAGAAATAGTTAACATGGCGTGGAAATTGGAGAAATGCATGTCTTATTTCTGTCCTACAACAAATTCTTCTAAAATTTTATAATTTAATATTATGTTTTATCAACAATTTTCTTGTTACCAAATATCAGGCTAAGAAAGTTCTGGTCTATTAATGTCTTCTAGTGAGTATCATCTTGAAATAATATTGAAATAGATCAAGTAGTTTTTATCTACTGAATTGATTTTGTTTTTCTCAATTAATCTGTTAATTTAATAAATTCTTCAATCTTTTAACAACATCAGAGAAGTTATTGATGTGTGACTCCTTTCTTTGAATACAGTTTTTAAATTTGATTTGTTTAGAATGTTTATAAATATGTTTATGAGTAATATAAGATTGTGATTTTTATGTTATATTCTTACTAGGGGACCTTGAAAGGAACTGTGGGCCACAAGGCTGTGGTGGGCACAGGGGCAGGTCTTGCCTATCCTCCACACCCCCATCCAGCCCCTCCTACTGTGGCCCCTGTCTGCTGGCAGCCCTGCTCCTGCTCCCGCTGCCATGCTCTGACGCGGCTGATGGCACTGAGCAACTGGGGCCAGGGCCAGCAGTGGGTGCGAGAGGGGCTGGTGCCATCAGCTGGTGTGAGCACCAGGCAGGACTGCGGTGCGTGGGAGCAAAGAATTTTCAGTAACCACCAGAGGCTCGCCCTGATGACAACAACCGGTGCCCCACCTTGGTCTGGCGCCCCCACTCACCTGCTCTACCATCTCACTGCAGCAGACACCGCCATGTTCCGCAGTCTGCCGCCTGCTGCTGACGCCTTCTATGTTCCACGCACGCCCCCTGGTGGTCAGCACACATCATAGCGACCTGTTGTTCGGTTATTCCACTGTTCGGCCTATTTGCATATTAGGGTTTTATATATATAGATAGATACTACTCTCATCTGATTTGTCATCAGCATATTACTAACATCATAAAATTATTTGATGGGACTTCTACTTTTATATTTTCCCACTATTTGTGCTGTTCTTAGATAAGAAGTATCTGTTACTTACTGTAGAACTAATTTTAAAGCATCTGAGTATTTACAGCAAGATTCTAAGATGGTTTTATTTTTTTTAATAGTTTTACCCTGTATATGTAATAGTCCCAAATTTAACTGTGAAATTTTGATAAATATATGAAATACAGTAACCACCACCATAATTACATTATAGAAAAATGTCATCGCTTTTTAAAGTTATTTTGCCCTTTTTTGCAGTGAATTCTCTCCCTCCCCTTGCACTTTGGAGACACCCTGCTCTGCTTGCTATCATTGTAAGTTGCTATTTCTAGAATTTGGCACAGACATAATCATTAACAATACAGACACTTTATGTATGAAATAATTCACTTAACATAATGTTTTTGAGATTCAGCCATGTTGTTGCATGTATCAATAGTTTTATTTTTATTTTTTATTGTTGGATAGTATTAAACTTTAGATATATGCCACATTTTTTTTTTTACCCAGTCACCTATTAATTACCATTTGGTTTATTTCTAGGTTTTTACCATTTTGAATAAAAACTTAGGAATTTTAAATCCAAGTCTTTGTGTGAACATGTTTCATTTATATTTTTGTGTTACATTTAGGCCTATGATATATTTTGAAGCAACCATTGAGTGTAGTATGAGGTCAGGTATTGTTTATACTTTACATAGGATAAGCCCATTGCTCCAGCACCATTTGTTGACAAGACTATTTTTTTCTATTGAACTAACTTGGCATGCTTGCTAAAAATCAATTGACCACATCTATTTGAGCCTATTTCTAGACTCTCAGTTCTCTTCTATTGATCTATGTTTCTATGCTTATGCCAATACCATGTTGTCTTGATTAATGGAGCTCTCTAGTAAATCTCGAAATCAAATAGTTGAAGTTCTCCAACTTTATTGTAATTTTTCAAAAGTTTTGTCTATTATAAGACCATTAAGTGTCCATACATATTTATGAACAATTTGGCAATGTATACAAAAAGCCTATTAGAATTTTGATTGAATCTATAGATAAATTTGTGAAAAATTAACATCTTAACTATATTGAATATTCCAACCTATGTAAACGGTATATTTCTCTACTACTTAGATTCAACTTTATATTCTCCCGGGAATATTTTTTTGTTTCAATGTACACAACTTGTGCATATTATGTTAAGTTTATTCCTAAGTTCAGTATGCTTAATGATATTGTGAATAGTTCTTTTCCTATTTCAATTTTGAAAAATTTTTGTTAGTATATATAAATACAAATAAATTCTTAACTATTGATGTGGTCTTTAAAACATATAATTTAGATTTCTTATTACTCTAAAATAATAACTTCATTTCTATAAAATTACAAATTACCAATAATTCTTTTATTTAATCAACCAAAATTTGCTGCAGCAGCCACAGGAAACTGATACATTGCCCTTCTCATCCTTTCTTACCCACATAATATGAAAAATTCAACACATTTTTCAGAAATCAGAATGAGCATCACAGCAGAACGTTCATGAATTATGCAAATAAATGTTAAAGTGTGATAAATCATGCAAATTAAAATCTACATTACTGAAGAGGATATTAGTGAGAGAGAAACAAATTTATCAAATAAAAATATATTTTAAATTTAAGTGGTTTCCAATGATTTTCTATGTAACAATTTAGGAAACATTTAAAGGCATTAATACTTTTATTAAATCCATGTAATTCTAATTTCAAAGGAAATGTTTTAATTTGGAATCTAGTAATTCTTTTACTTGGTATAATTTAATTAATTTTGTATTAATGAATTTTAAGAGTAAGAAGCAAAAATACAAATCTCTTCATTTACACTTAGCTATGAAGTATGTATACATTAAAAATGATGAGTTAGAAATATTTTTTAAAACAATTGCTATCACAAACTTAAATAATATAAGTTGTTTTAAAAACAATTTACATCAGCACTTGTGGGCTAAAATTTATTTGATAATTATATTACATACATTTATAACTCACAAATTATAAATGTAGTATTAAAATATTATTTTAATATATACATAAATAGGTTTACTTATATTATACAATCTAAAAGAAAAGCTAAGAGTTTTCCTCACATAGAATACACAAAGAACATTTTATTTTTAAAGTTTTTTTAAAGTGCCATAAATATATTATAATTAAAACGTGAATATGATTCATTTGTTTATTTAACAAATAGTTATAATTTTTATATTTTTAATGTGACAAGCATTGTTAGATGCTTGGTAAAGACACATTAGTAAACCCAACAGAGCAAGTGCTTGCCATCATTTTGTTTACAGAGCAATGAGTTACAAAATCAAAATAAATAATAATTTTAAAAACTGAATTTACTTCATTGCGAAATAATTTAAAATCAGATTTTAAAAGATATTTCTCTTTCTAATATCATTATAAATTTACTTTATGATAAATGGGATTTTTAATAATTCCTTTACATTGTGTGCATGACAACTAGATTATTAATTGGCCATGCATCTGTCTTTTCTACACTGAGCCCTAGTTCCAACTATCTGGAAATAATTACTTTCAGAGACATGACTTACATTAGCACAAATCAGTATCACTGGGCTGAAATCAAGAGAATGGCTAAAATTCTCTTCCCAAAAATCAGTCCTTTGCCACTTATAGCCTCTGATGGCTGCCATCATTCCTTTGTTTGTGGTCTTTTCTTTTTTTAAAAAAATATGTTTTTATTGATTTCAGAGAAGAAGGTTGAGGGAGAGAGAGAGAGAGAGAAACATCAATGACGAGAGAGAATCATTGATCGGCTGCCTCCTACATGTCTCCCACTGGGGACTGAGCTCACAACCCAGGCATGTGTGTGCCCTTACCCGAATCAAACCCAGGAACCTTCAGCCCACAGGCCAACTCTCTATTCACTTAGCCAAACTGGCTAGGGCTGTTCGTGGTCCTTTCAATCTCTCTTTTATTAAATTGCCTTCTGTGATGCTTAATTTTATGTTTCAACTTGGCTAGACCATGATACCAGATATTTGGTTGAACACATCTGGATGTTACATTGAACATATTATTAAAATGATTTTAAGTTTCTTTAAAGTTCTTTTAAACATTTAAGTCAGTAATTGAGGAAAGCACGTGATCTAACATGTGTGTGGACTTTATTCAAATAGTTCATCAGTTGAACACTTTAAGAAAATTCCCCAAGAAAGAGAGAATTCTGTCAGCAGATTGCCTTCCGATTCCAGCTTCAACATCAACTCTACCTTGGGTCTCTAGCCAGCCAGTCTACTCTGCACATTTTGGAGGATATATATTTGAATAAAATCCTTGATATTCTGGATATCTAGGTAGGTTCTAAATGTATCCCTAGAGAATCAGAGTAAGATAGGCAGAAAAGAAAGAAAGTGTATTAGTCAGGGATAATGTCCCAAGTGAAGATCCTTGACTATGGGGATATATTGTGAGAAATTCATGCTTAGGAGAGATTGTGTGTGCATCATTGTGTGTACATACCTACACCTAGATTTGTACATTCCACAAGCCTAGGCTATATGCTATAGCTTATTGCTACTAGCGTACAAGGATGTACAGCATGTTACTGTACAAAGCAACAAGAGATCAAGCACAAGAGAAAATGATGCAATCAAGAGATGCTGTAAAACATGAGATGCAGGAGGCTGCTGCCAGCTAGCATGGCATACTGTTTACTAGCAAACTTTTTTTAAATGAAAAGAAAAAGTTCATTCTACGATAAAAAGTATAGTATAGTAAAAACATAAGCCAGTAATATAATTGCTTATTATCATTATAAGTATTATGTTTTGTATGAAATTGTATGCACTATACTTCTATAATGATTGGCAGAATGGGCTTGTTTACATCAGCAGCGTCACAAAAATGTGAGTAATGCTTTGCATTGTGATGTTATGAAAGCTATCGTGTCACTAGAACATAAGAATTTTTCAGCTCCATCATAAAACTCTGGGACTACCATCATATATGCAGTCCGACGCTGACCAAAATGAGATATGTGGCACACGACTTTAACTGTAAAATGCTTTTTCTCTCCTGCGAGGTATCTTAGCTTCTAGGGATCAGCACTTGGATATCTTTTGGGGAGCCATTATTCAGCCTACCACAGATAGACTTAAAATAGCTAACTCTTTAAAAAAACTGTAATAATATTTGTGTCAATCTTAAGGAGAGACTGAAGACTGTCTCATTAGTTCGGCATAAGATATATTTAAACTATAACAGAACACCTAATAATCTAGTGTTCAATCTTTTAGGGCGACTGATATACATGAAAATCTCATGATAACTTTAAATATTTCACTTGCTTTTTAAGATATTCAGAAAAATGATAATATGAAATACAAAAAGATAGATATCTTTTAAATTATATATTAAAACATTAGCAATTATGGATATAAACTTTTACTTGCTACATCTTATATTCCATAATTATTTAAAATATTTAAATTTTAATTAGGAGCCTGGCCACATAGCTCAGTTGGTTTGAGCATCGTCCTGATACACCAAGTTGCAGGTTTGATTCGCAGTCAGGGTACATACAAGAATCAACCAATGAACCCTACCTGGTTTGGCTCAGTGGATTGAGTGTCGGCCTATGGACTGAAGGTTCCTGGCTTCAATTCCGGTCAAGGGCACATGCCTGGGTTACAGGCTCACTCCATAATAGGGGGTGTGCAGGAGGCAGCCCATCAATGACTCTCTCTCATCACTGATGTTTCTATCTCTCTCTCCCTCTCCCTTCCTCTCTGAAATCAATCAAAATATATTTTCAAAAAAGAATCAACCAATGAATGCATAGATACATGGTACAAAAAAATCAATGTTGTTTTCTCTCTCCTTCCCTCTCTCAAATCAATAAATAAATAAAATTAAAAAAAATAATTAGGTGGAACTAAACAATTAAATCAGATGCACTGTATAACAAATTTTACAAAATGCATTAACACACACACATGGATTTCTCTTAAAAAAATACACATTTTTGAATAAAAGAAATTTAAGACTTCACAGACAAAAAAATGGCTAAGTGTAGTGGGTTAGTTGATGACAATGAATGAAACAATCATCCTGATGACAAGATATGAGTGGAGAAAGGATTTCTTGGAAAGGCAAATAAAGTAGGTAAACTACACATATGTCATTCTTCACTTATTTCCTTGAGAAGTTATTCCCTTCCCAGCCTGGTCACCAATAGTTTTTTTTTTTTTTTACATTTTTATTGATATCAGAGAGGAAGGGAGAGGGAGAGAGAGAGAGAAACATCAATGATGAGAGAGAATCATTGATTGGCTGCCTCCTGCATGCCCCACACTGGGGATCGAGCCCACAACCTGGGCATGTGCCCAACCAGGAATTGAACCATGACCTCATGGTTCATAGGCCAACTCTCAACCATCAATAGTTTTAAAAGAACAAAAGGACAATGTGAAGGCGAATGTTTAAGTCTTACTCATTTTTTAAAACTGCCATTTCTGTTAATAAAAGTATTAACACTTGAATAAAAGTAGCTATTTTGCATTTTGTGCATGCCTAATGTTCTGCAATAATCATTTCATCTAAAGACAGATTAAATATTTTAATAATGTGATGTTCTCTAGATTCAGAACTTTATTAAATATTCTATTAATAATTAAGTCAGGTGTTCTTTAATGCATTTATCTTCTTTTTATGTGGTCAAGTAACATTATGCTGTATTTCAAATCCTTATTATTTATAAAATATAAGTGCAATAAAAATTAGTTAGCTATAAATCAGTTATTGCTGTGGTTCTTTATTTCCTAAGAACTGTATTTTTTGTTTTGTTTTTCTGTTTCTTTGATTTACTGGTTTTTAGTTTTCAAAAGCCTGGAAAATTATTGTTAAATCATTTAATCGTTTATATACTTTATAGGCTTTATAAAAGGTTTTTGCAGGGTTCTGTAAAAGGAGGGGTGAGGGGGGTTGATAGCTCTGAAGTCGGTTTCATTTGCTTTTTGTAGTTCTAGGCAAACATTTAAAAATGAATCTTAACCAAACAAATTGTAATATTTATAACTTTTGCTGAACAAAAGGAAAACATAATAGAATGTGTTATGTACCATTATTTGAATATTCTAAAAAGCAAAGCAAAGAGGTTTCCATGCAGAATTAATTAATAACACTATTGTAACAAAAAGTCAATTTACTCCTTCAACCGTAGCATATTTCTGTCAAGCTTCTTACTCAGTCCCATAAAAGATTATGGGGAAGATGAGACAACAATGATAAGCTTATTCATTACCTCTGAAAAGCTGATCTAAGTAAAACAGATATCTAGATCAAATAATACAATGGATTCACTATATTATACTCTTGTGATTTATGAGGAAAATTCCCCTAAATGTTTTTGTATTAACATTTAAAATTGTTATGCTTAATATTGAATATGGAACTTGTATTTTTATTAGGTTTCAGATTTAAAAAGCAATATTGAGAGCTCAATTTAAATTGATATCTGGCCGCCAGCCTGATGCAACTTCTAAATTTGAACCAAAATGCCTACAAAAACAAAAAGAGATGTGGGCTCTTGCATAACTACCCCAAACAAAGGCTGCCAGAGCCCATCACCAGAATAGGGTCAGATTATTCCGGTAGCTTTAAATTCCAGGAGGTTAAATTCTGTGATACAAAGTGTGACTTACTCATGGATTTCCAGGTGAAACAAAATAGACCTGTGATCCAGAAAGAAGACAAAAGGTATTCAATCCATTCTACCTTGCGTTTGCCTTTGGTTCAAAGACTTTCAGTCTTTTACAACCAAACCCTGGCCATTCATCCCCACTTTTTACCTACATACGCACATGTGGTGAAAGGTAAGTATTCATTCACTCTTCCTCCTTCCATTAAAAACCCACACAAAAACCTTTCAGAAATAATTGGACACAAAGAAACAGATTGGGAGAAAGCTGAAATGACTGATATGATTCAGGTTTCCAGATACCCTTAATTTAGAATGGTAACTGGAAATGAAGGTAAAGGAAAACCCCCAACAGTGAATAATAAACATAAACTGATTTAATGCTGTTATAAGATCTAAAGTGGGATAGGGCTACTCATATTAATATTCTGTTTTTTTGTTGTTAAAGGAAGGATATGTAACAGCAATAAGGAGGACTAATAAGTAGAATCAATGTAAGCCAATATTTGCTTGGAAAATTTGCAGTTAAGATAAAACTCTTCCTTTTTCAAGAATGAATAAATAGCAAAGAACAACAATAACATAAATTTACTTTTAGAATTAATACTGTCCTATTATGAATTTAAAAAATAAACTAGAACAAGAAAACCTGTCATGAATAGTAAGATAGGTGAAAAAAGTAAGAATGCAAAACACTAAATTGTGAAACAATTAAAATCAGCCTCATAAAGTTAGAGTTGACATAGTGGTATATTAAATTATTATAAAATGATATTTAATGTCATTCAAAATGCAGATAAAAAGGATGAGTGAAAACAATGAAAGTAAAATTAAACATATCAAAAGGAGATCCCTGATGCTTAAAGAAATTATTTTTTTCTTACTGAGAAGGAAAATAAAACTGCATATGCCAGGAAAAAAATAAAGAAACATAAAATAAAATATTCTAAGCTTTAGAAGAGACATCACTAATTATATTTCAGATTTTTAGATACTGTCATGACATTTCATAAGAATGCAAGCTTTATTTCAGTTAGGAAGGAACAATATTTTTTAAAGCAACATATTTTAAGCAAAACTAATGAAAGATATTCAGGTTGCTTACCCAAACCAAAAGTTTATCCTATATAATAACAGGCTAATATGCAAATAGACTGAACAGCGGAACAACTGAACAACTGGTTGCTATGATGTGCACTGACCACCAGGAGGTGCGTGTGGAACATGGCGGGCGTCAGCCGCAGTGGGATGGTGGAGCAGGTGAGCGGGGGTGCCAGACCAAGGCGGGGCGCCGGTCGCTGTCATCGGGAAGAGCCTCTTGTAGTTACTAAAAAGTCTTTGCTCCCACACGCTGTGATCCTATCCAGTGTTCACACCTGCTGCTGGCACCAGCCCCGCTCGCACCCGTAGCTGGTGTTAGAGCCACCACTTGCACCCACTGCCGGTGCCCAGCACTAGCCTCAAAAGCTCAGCACTGTCAGGGGGTGCAAGTGGTGGTTGCTAGCCCTGATTGCGCCTGAGGGCTCTCCACCTCCCCCTGCTCCTGAGGAGCGATCAGGGCAGCAGCCACCACTCACACCCACTGATGGTGCCGGTCTTGTTCACACCCACTTCTGGCTCGAGCCCCAATTGCTCCACACTGTCAGTGGGTGCAAGCGGGGCTGGCACTGTCAGTGTGTGGGAGTGGCAGTGGCAAGAGCGGGGCTGCCAGCAGACAGGGGACCAGGGGCTGCAGCAGAAGGGGCCAGGTGGGGGCATGGAGGGTGGGCCGAGCCCCACCCTTGTGCCCACCATTGCCTTATGGCCCACAGTTCCTTTCAAGGTGCACGGATTCGTGCACTGTGCCCTAGTATTTTAATATTAAGAAAGAAATCAAAATTGCCTGAGATTGGAAGAAAGGTACCAGCAGAGGATAAAAAGCAGACTGGCCTTAAACTTGTTATCTTAAAGCTGAAAATTAAGAATTGCTCAAACAATGTTAATAGGGAAATTGGGATTCTAGAATTGTATATTTAATCAAATTGTTAGTCTTCTATAGCAACAACATAAAAAGGCATAGACTTGCCCATTATGGAGAACAACAATAAAAAAAAAAATTTATACATGAAGATAAATATTTCAGCATAATATAAAGTGGCTTGTGATAAATACAGATGCTATTTACTTTCAGGTTTAAATTAAATGTGAAACAATATCTCTAAAACTAAATAAATATACCAAAATAGTTTTTGAAATGAAAATTTTATAGACCAGAAAACATTAAAATAATAATAATCCATGTGGGATGTACACTTATGTGCATAAACTAAAGAAAAATGTCATTAAATGTCAGAAAAGATATAATTTGCAAAAAGGAATTCTCTGTATATAGGCTTCAGTCTCTGACCTCAAATAAATTACAAGTAAGATTTAAAAAATAGAATATTAAACCTAATCTTCCTGCCTCTTTTTATATTTAAGGTATTTTTGTAAATCCATTCGATCAGAAGAAATTGAATGTACAATGATGGGCCATCTATAAAGCAATATATTAAATACTAGAGGCCCAGTGCACAGATTCATGCACTGGTGGGGCCCCTCAGCCTGGCCTGCACCCTCTCCCAATCTGGGACCCCTCGGGGATGTTGGTAGCTGGTTTCAGCCTGGTCCCCTCAGGCCTGATCCAGACAGGAGGGAGCCTGGTTGTGGGCATTGAGCATCTGTCCCCTGGTGGTCAGTGTGCATAATAGCAACCGGTTGACCAGTCGTTTGGTCATTTGGTCATCCGGTCGCTTAGGCTTTTATATATATATATACTAGAGGTCCGGTGCACGAAATTCGTGCACTGAGGGGTGGGGTTCCCTCAGTTCAGCCTGCCCCTCTCACAGTCCGGGAGCCCTCAGTGAATGTCCTACTGATGGCCATGGTCTGGCAGCAGAGGCTCGGTGCAGGCGTCCTGTGTGTGTGTGTGTGTGTGTGTGTGTGTCTGCTGGGGGCCTGCCCCCAGCCACACCATGGAGGCTTGGAGCAGGAGCCCTTCTGTGTTGATCTCTCAGGCACCTGGCCTCCACTGCATGTTGTACTCTCCCTTGAGCTATGGCCAGGATGGGGGTGCTGCTTGCAAGCCGGGCTTTCCCGCTCCCAGGTCTCCATGGCAACTGGGAGCAGGCCCAGCTTGGAGCTGCCCACAGGCCAGGCTTGCTCTCCTGCTCCCGGATCCCCATGGCGACCGGGGAGAAGGCACAGCTGGGGGCTTCCCGCAGGCCAGGCTTGCTTTCCTGCTCCCAGAACCTCATGGCGACCGGGGAGAAGGCACAGCTGGGGGCTGCCCGCAGGCTGGGCTTGCTCTCCTGCTCCCAGAACCTCATGGCGACCGGGGAGAAGGCACAGCTGGGGGCTGCCCGCAGGCTGGGATTGCTTTCCTGCTCCCGGATCAGGCGCAGCTGGGGGCTGCCTACAGGCCGCACTTTTCTACTTACTGATGGCTGGATCACCACAGTGACCCAGGGCCCAGCGGCACTTTCCTGCTCTCCAGTAGTCATAGGGTTCCGGCTGGGGGCAGCGCTTAGCAGTGTGGGGCTTAGGCAGCACGGGGGTCCCCGCTGGGGGCTCAGGTGGCACACAGGGGTCCCGGCTGGGGCGGGGCTTATGCCCCGCTTCCCAGGGCTGCACATGGGGCCCAGATGGCAGCTCGCGCTGTCCTGCCCTGCCTGCAGTATAGGATAGGGCCCTGGTGCATGGGTGGGGGCCGGCTGGTTTGCCCTGAAGGGTGTCCCAGATCATGGTAGGGTCCCGCTTGGGTGCCTGGCCAGCCTGGATGATGGCCTGATGGCTGTTTGCAGCTGGTCACACCTCCTTCAGAGTGGGGGTCCCCACTGGGGTGCCTGGCCAGTCTGGGTGAGGGCCTGAGAGCCGTTTTCAGGCTGGAGGGTAACTGAAGCTCCCAGCCTCTCCTTTTTTTCTTTTTTTTTTATTCTGGGATTTATTTACCTTCTATAGCTGTCACTGGAGCTGAGAGCTGGCTCCAGCTCTGAGGGCTGAAAGCAAGTTTCTGGGTCTGTTTGGCTTCTATAATTGAAACTCTGTTGCCATCACAGCAGCTCTAAGCTCTGAGGCCGAAGCTGGCTGAAAGCAGGTTTCTGGGTCTGTTTGGCTTCTATAATTGAAACTCTGTTGCCATCACTGCAACTCTAAGCTCTGAGGCCGAAGCTGGCTGAAAGTAGGTCTCTGGAGCTTGTTTAGCTTCTATAATTGCAACATAGTTGCTTAGAGTGCAGCTCGGAGGCTGGCAGCAGCAGGCGGGGAACGTTGGCTTCCTCTGTCACTGAAGCAAGCAAGCCTCCTGTTAGCTTCAGCTGTGTGGCTGCCGGCCGCCATCTCGGTTGGCAGTTAATTTGCATATCACCCTGATTAGCCAATGGGAAGGGTGTCGGGGTTATGGTCAATTTGCATGTTTCTCTTTTATTAGATAGAATAGATTATAGAAAATTATGAAAACTGTTCCTTAGTCCACATTTCATCCTATATTTCTACTGCTTTACAAATACTTTTGTCTATATTCTTTATTCTAAACATTATTCTAGGGTTCTGTGTTATTGAACAGAATAATACTATATTACCTGATACATTGGAAACACTTAAAATAGAAATTATAATTCTGGGCCCACCTTCAAGTTTAGATCTCAGAAAAGTAATATATATGTGGTGAAAGGTCAATTTCACAACGGCAGGTTTTTGCTGATGACGGGTTTTTCTTTTCTGATCATCACTTCTGTGATGATGGGAAAGATTTCCAGATACTATCATAGTATCACAGATATTTGGTGCCTTTTCATTCCATAAGGAAGGCAAACCTTCCTTCAGTCAGGAAGGGTTAATATAATTGTATTGTAGCCAGAGCTACAATAATAAGCTATACATAATAACATTGGTAACTGGTTGACCTTGCAAATTCACTTAGCCTATCTGAACTCACTTAAACTTTCTTTATACATAAGTAGGGTCAATTTAAATTCAGTTTCCTTTTTTGTTTACTTGTTTTAGGGACTTTGAGGTGGAATTATTGATATAATGTAAGTGAAATAGTCCTAAACTATAAAGCAGTATAAATGTATTGTTTTTATTAACAATTTAATTGTTAGTAATAGCACAAAGCAGCATGAATACTGTGTTGCATTATATACCATATACAATGTAAGCCATTACATCAGATGTGAACTCAAGTTTTCAAGGAACTTGAATCTGGCCTACAAGGATAGGTTAAATATGAGCAAGACTAATGTAAGTCATGTACCTCAGCAGAAACAAAATTTAAATAGAAGACTCTTAAAAACAATCAACCAAATTTGAGTTAATGACAATGACTTAGATTTTGGGAAAGAAACTATGTTGGCCATGTGATGAGTGTGATAATGCTAATTGCAGACTTCTTACATTGGTTAATGCAAAAATTAACCAATCTCTTATACTTTTCCATCCCTCCCTGTGTTTTTGCAGAAAGCAAACCTCCCAGAGGCTATCTCCACCAATGACAGTGTGAAAGAGATATTAAAGCACAACTATACCTGGAACACACAAGAAGCCATTGTCTGCCTCGCCTTCCTTAGTTCAAAGAATCCCCAATGGCTTTCTTGAGTCTTCTTTAGAGTATTCAGCAGTCTAGGATGCTTGCACCTAACCATCTCTCCTCCCTTCTTCACTTGGGTTAGACTTATTTAGAGTTCTGAGAGCTCTCCCAGCCTTCACTGGCTCTATTTCCTTTTGCACAGTCATCTCCCCTAACAAAATCCTGACATATTTAATTCACTCTTGTGTCTGTATCTCAGAGAATACAAAGTAAAACAGAGCACCGAAACATAACCTTCTTAAGAAAAAAAAATGTTTAAAATAGTAGGAACAGAAAATTATTCAAGTTTATTCAGTTATTCAAGATGAGCATTATAGTGATGAGATAGATTCATTTTAGCTAATTAAATTTTCATGATAACAACAGTAATGTATTATCATGAACTTGGACAGAAAAGGCCAAAAATATCAAGAAAGAAGAGCTGTGATTAACATTTTGGTGCATTTAATTAATCTTTTTTTTAATGCATGATTTTTTTTTCACTTTAGTTTATAGTAGAAAAAAATACATTTTCCTGAAAATGTGTTTAGGAGTAGGCTGCAGTGAAAGGCATGCAAGAAGATTTGAGAAAAGCAATGTACC